TTGTGTTCCGAGAATACCAGATATTATTCTATATCTCGTACATTGTCGGGAATCCTGAACATTTTTAGGATCCCGTATATTCTCGGGAATCCCGGATCTTTGCGGGATCACGTGTATTTTCGGGAATCCCGCACACCTCTATTGGATATCCATCTGCGTAACGCTGGGAGAGCTCTTGTACCAGTCCCATAATCGATTCGCCGATGCGCAGTGATCCATACGCCAGGATTCCATAAATACTCCTGAGCAAGAAGTGCCCACGGTTAGCCTAGGAGCAAGCCAAGATCGCCGAACCGTGTAGCAAAGGACAGCACCTTCGCACCTATTTTTTCACCGCGGCGCGTATATCGCCCAATCCGCCCGACTCTTTGTTCGATTGCCGAGTCCCCCACGGACTGCCCAGCGGCACTTCGGCCGACCCCGTCGCTCACGGATGCGTTGCACTCGATGTTCCTGCGAGTGTTACAACGCGAACGACATTTATCTCTTAAAATTTAACAGTACATTCTTAAATATAATATACAGGGTGTCCCGTAAATAGTGTAAGAAACGGTAATGGGGGGTAGGTGAGACAATTCTAAGCAACAATTTCCTTTGCAAAAATGTCGGATGGGGCTTCGTTTTTGAATTATTAACGAAAAACACTGACCAATCACGGCGCTCGCCTTCCGCGCGCTCAGGGCCGTCCGACCTCGGAGAGCCACCGCGCCGGGTAGGTAGCAAGATGCGCGTTGAAAATACATCGAGGAACGAGTACAAATAATTAAAAATACTACCACTGCAACTGTTACCTAATTCGTGAATTACTACGTAATTAGTACGTAAATTACTAAATGGAAATTACTTTTTATTAATTATTTGTATTCGCTGTTTCCAAGGAAGAAGGAATCAAATCTCGGAATTTTTAGAAAATTAACCCTCCGCACCCAAGTGACGCTTCTCGCCAGAGTGTTTTAAAATTAAAATAAGAATTATTATCAGAAAATTAAAATAAATACGGTAAGAACCATTTGTAACCGTTTGTTATTAAAAACTGTACTGAAAAAGCAGACTGGATTTCTGCGTACCGAAACATTCCTCGAATGCAAAGGGTTAATAGAGAAATAATTGAAATTCGACTTACCCATTCATCTGCAAGTTGACCTACTGCGCTGACAATAGGGCCCGGCCAATGCACCGCTGTCGGTCACAGCAAGGTCAAAAACCCCAACGAAAATCAGCTGATGGGATGGCCCGATCGCTGTACCTGCTTCTCACCCCGAAAAAACTTCACAGCACGGTCACTAACACTTTTCACTTTCACATACCGATGCGTTCCGTTGCACCCTTCTTCGATTGTTGCTCCTTCCTGGGTTGATAACGGTGCCTGGATGTTGCTCCCTCCTGAATTGTTACTCCTTCCTGAATGGTTGTTGCTCCTTCCTGGATTGTTGCTTCTTCGAACCTTGCTCCCTTCAGGATTGTTGTTCCTTTTCGCTGGAATAATGGGCACGATACGTGCGGGCGGCTTTCTTCGCGTTCCCCTTGGACTCCGCGAAAACGAAGAACGTATGATAATACTCTGCGTTTACGCGTTCCATCGCGTGCGTCCGCTTCTGTTCAGAAACGCGTAGGTTCTGTGAAAAATTTTGACTGACAAATTGCATTTCCCTCCCCGAAAAAGTTCCAGGTAAGGCAACCTATTGTCGCGCGATTCGGAATTACCTGCGATCGGCGAACGTGCAGACCATGCTTTTGCCGTGTATCGCACAAAGCCAAACGTCTCTTCGGCTAGTTGACCCTGGCGGAGTTATTTTTTTATTACTGCAAAACTGCCGCAAATGTTTGCTGCTAACCGTGCGTTCGACTCTTCTATTCGAATTTTTATGATTCACCGTGAATATTTTTGTACACAAAACATATTTAATTGTACAACAAAAATATTTAACGAAAATATTAAAAAATATTTCTTCTTGGAATTTTTATTTCAGAAATAAAAACTAGAAGAAATATTATTTAATATTTTTGTTAAATATTTTTGTTTTTTGTTGCTCCAATATTTTTTATTATCGCATATTATCTATTATGTAACTGCCTCCTTCTTTGTGGATTATTTTTTATAAACAATACCTTTTTATTTTATACTCTTAAAATTTAAAAGCATGGAATTTTTCATGGTATATTCTTCTTTCTTTTTTACAACAAATTTTCCATGAATAAATATTCACGGTGAATCATAAAAATTCGAATAGAAGAGTCGAACGCGCGGTTAGCAGCAAACATTTGCGGCAGTTTTGCAGTAATAAAAAAATAACTCCGCCAGGGTCAACTAGCCGAAGAGACGTTTGGCTTTGTGCGATACACGGCAAAAGCATGGTCTGCACGTTCGCCGATCGCAGGTAATTCCGAATCGCGCGACAATAGGTTGCCTTACCTGGAACTTTTTCGGGGAGGGAAATGCAATTTGTCAGTCAAAATTTTTCACAGAACCTACGCGTTTCTGAACAGAAGCGGACGCACGCGATGGAACGCGTAAACGCAGAGTATTATCATACGTTCTTCGTTTTCGCGGAGTCCAAGGGGAACGCGAAGAAAGCCGCCCGCACGTATCGTGCCCATTATTCCAGCGAAAAGGAACAACAATCCTGAAGGGAGCAAGGTTCGAAGAAGCAACAATCCAGGAAGGAACAACAATTCAGGGAGCAACAACAATTCAGGAAGGAGTAACAATTCAGGAGGGAGCAACATCCAGGCACCGTTATCAACCCAGGAAGAAGCAACAATCGAAGAAGGGTGCAACGGAACGCATCGGTATGCGAAAGTGAAAAGTGAAAGTGAAAATTGTTAGTGACCGTGCTGTGAAGTGTTTTCGGGGTGAGAAGCAGGTACAGTGACCGGGCTGGCCCATCAGCTGATTTTCGTTCGGGTCTTCGACCTTGCCGTGATCGACAGCGGTGCATTGGCCGGGCCCTATTGTCAGCGCAGTAGGTCAACTTGCAAATGAATGGGTAAGTCGAATTTCAATTATTTCTCTATTAACCCTTTGCATTCGAGGAATGTTTCGGTACGCAGAAATCCAGTCTGCTTTTTCAGTACAGTTTTTAATAACAAACGGTTACAAATGGTTCTTACCGTATTTATTTTAATTTTCTGATAATAATTCTTATTTTAATTTTAAAACACTCTGGCGAGAAGCGTCACTTGGGTGCGGAGGGTTAATTTTCTAAAAATTCCGAGATTTTATTCCTTCTTCCTTGGAAACAGCGAATACAAATAATTAATAAAAAGTAATTTCCATTTAGTAATTTACGTACTAATTACGTAGTAATTCACGAATTAGGTAACAGTTGCAGTGGTAGTATTTTTAATTATTTGTACTCGTTCCTCGATGTATTTTCAACGCGCATCTTGCTACCTACCCGGCGCGGTGGCTCTCCGAGGTCGGACGGCCCTGAGCGCGCGGAAGGCGAGCGCCGTGATTGGTCAGTGTTTTTCGTTAATAATTCAAAAACGAAGCCCCATCCGACATTTTTGCAAAGGAAATTGTAGCTTAGAATTGTCTCACCTACCCCCCATTTCCGTTTCTTACACTATTTACGGGACACCCTGTATATATTTTCAAAAAATGAAATAAAAAAAAATTGATTTTTTTTAGATTTCACATGAGACTCCCCCCTTAACTCAACCGTGCGGTGCACACTACCTGGCACAATCGACGGGGTCACTGAAGTAGGTTGTACGAAGCCCGATGCACGGTGAGCACCACGAGGCGGTACCAGTATATCGGTATCCATCTGCCGGTTGTTCCTACGCCGTATAGCTCGGACGGGTCGTCGAATCCTCAACTTCACCGGTTGGTGCACACTACTCCGGCACAACCGACGGGTGATTGGAGTGAATTCTCCGATCCCGTAGAACGGCGAACGCACCACGAGGAGATACTAGTATATCGGTATCTACCTCCCGGTGGCTCAAACCGCATAGCTTGGACGGGACTCAAGGTGGTTAACACCGAGTTCCTTATGTCGTAGCCGTGGCAACGATTGCAACGTTCAATCATAATCCTGCGTCCGTGGTCGCGTCACGCGCAGCGTGCTCTGCGACCTACTATAACCTTCACGCATATTGTTTTGGAAAAATCTCAAGTCGCAGTGATGAGATTTTCCATTAAATAATGTCCGCGAAATATACTCGTTTACGAAGAGCGAGCTTGGCTCAAGGTCTTCGGAGCACGTACTTGCTGACGGAGCGAGATCGGCCAAGGATCCGCTCTCAATCACAGTCAGCTCACGAATGTCTCGCGAAATCGAGATCACTGCCGAATTCGGCTGTTAATCTCTCTTCAATTAATAAGATGTTTCTCTTTCTCGGCGTTTACGGCACAATACCAGTGGAATTTGGCGTTGGAATCGAATATTCGTGCGAAATTAGCTAGCAAAAACACGTAAACGGCTCGGTTTAATTGTCTGTACGCCGAAGGAATTCGGCAACAGCCCGACCTTCTAAAGCAACGCGTATGCAAAATAGAAACGGGAATCGCGACCGATCTTCTTCTTCTCGGACTAACGCGATATTTGAACAATAGTGTTGTTTACAAACGTTGACAATGATGGAAACATTCTGTTTACTACATAGTCGGCTTACACTAGAAGTCATAGTTTATTCAGACATCGTTAATTCGTCAAACAAACTTGTGTAAGCAGCAAAGTGGTGGACATTTTCAACAATACTTTATAATACTGTATTGTAGTATTGCAATAGAAAGTAGTAATAAGAAATACAAAATGAATTATCAGTAGAAACACTTTGTACTGCTTTTATAATGTTTGTAAACACTAACTCGGACGGAGACAACCGCGATAGAACATACAACAAAATTGTTCACAAAGGTGAACAAACTATAAAGTCAATTTTCTTAAAAAACGAAGCCTCGAATAAAAAAATGTTATACGAAACTTTTTTCTAATTTTTTTATTCATCTTCTTATTCGTCTATTTACCAAATTTTCGTAATTTTTACAGGAAGTATTTCGTGAGGCATTCGAGCATACGGACATTATCTATGATGTGGTACGGCTATTAAAACACGAGAACATTAAATTGAAGGAGAACTGTGCCCTTGCGATATTCAATTGCGGCCCGAACAAAGTCGCTAGAGACATAGTTCGGAAGACGAATGGTCTAGATATACTATGCAAATTGGTGCAAAGCGAAGATGTTCACGCAAACAAGCGTCTGTTAGCCGCCGTCACAGGTGGAATTTGGAAGTGCGCTATAAACCCTGAGAATGTAGCGAGGTTTATTCAAAATGGCTTAGTAGCTTCACTAGTGCCCCTTTTGGAGGAGCACGAGGATGAGGATGTACAGGTAAACGTTGTAGGAGCTCTGGCAGAATGTTGCAAAGATCCTGTTAACAGAGACGTTCTGAGAATCAACGACGGTTTGCCAAAACTGGTAATTATACAGTATATTTTAAAACAGAAACTCTTCTTTTAAAATTTGTCTTAACCCATTTATTTTCCTGGTCGTTATCACCAGAATGTATACAAGGTAGGTTATCAGATACTTCCATTTAGATTTACGACATTATTGTTACGCGTAGCGAAAAATGTCTCAGATGAAATTGAATGGTTTCAAGAGGGTCACATTCTGATGATACTAGTTTTCTTGTAGGCGGACGAGTAGAGAACATAAGAAGAAAATCATTAATTTTTTAAAATGGAAAAATATATTTTTTATTACGTCAGTTGATGTACCTTTCTTTACAAAAAAGTATATGCAACCTATTTATGTTAAAAAATCATTAGTTTAAGAGATATTTTAGTTTTAATGTTGTTGGGAATCATGACTTCTTTGTTAATGTTGTAATGATTGTATATATGCACAAAAGGTTGAATGTGAATACCATTTATAACATTTTCTCAATCGATAGATTAATGATTCACTCGTATCGTGTAGTATATCTGGTGTTGTAAGGGGGGTTATGTTTCGTGGTGGAAACGGGGAGGAAAAAAGAGGGAAAGTATTGGGAGAGGATGGAGGTAAGGGGTAGATGAAGAAAGTGTGGGTGTTTAGAGAGACACTTACGACTTTGTGGGATACAGGAGTCAGCCCGGGGATGGACTCGTGTTTATTCCGTTGGTTGTACAAAAAGGTCCGGCGAAAGATCCGTCGTCGGAGATCGTTAGGCCTTGGTCAAGTACGCGGGGCGTTGAGTATGTCTCAAAGAATGGTGGTGGGCGCTCTCCTGCAGTTTGGCACGCCCGCGTAGGAGCCGGCACTGAGGAGCTTTCCCGGGCGAGTATACCCGACTGTTAGCCGATAGATTTTCCAGCAGTTTGGCACGTCCGCGTAGGAGCCGGCACTGTGGAGCTTCTCGGACTTAGTCGGGTAGTGACTACCGAACATGGCCCTGAAGGCCCGTATTTATAATCGGGGTAGCGCGCTAGCGCTGACCTGGGCCGCCGCTGATTGGTTGCGACCCTTCTATTTTTAGCATTACCTGAGTGTTTGGCGAGAGCTACGTCGGTGTTTCTATCCTAGTTAAAACTAAGGGCGCGGTGTGTCTGGGAAAGTCGCGTCGTCGTTTTTATATTTATTTACAACTATTATGTCGCGTTATAGTGTTATTTTATTAATAAAAAAATAATGAAGTATACGGTGTGAAAAATAAGGTGTATACCTGAGCTTCCGAATACAATGGTCAATATAAGAGATCGTATTATCACTGACTGCAATAAAATAACTCCAGATACAATACAGAATGCAAGTGAATGATTAATCTATCGATTGAGAAAATGTGATATAAATAGTCGTCACATTGAATTTTTTGTGTAAATAGAATCATTATAACATTAACAAAGAAGTCATGATTCCCAACAATATTAAAATTAAAATATCTCTTAAACTAATGACTTTTTAACATAAATAGGTTGCATATACTTTTTTGTAAAGAATATCAAAGTACATCAAATGATATAATACAAAATATGTTATTCCGTTTAAAAAAACATTGATGACTATTATATGTTGTTTCGTCCTTCGGAACACATACCCGGGGCGTAGTGGCTGCCTTTCCGGCCTATTGTTTAATTTTTAGGAACGGAATCGATCGCCGTATTCTTCAAAATTTTTCCTTTACAAGGAAAACATTTGTTAACCAGAAGGTGCCTCGGAACGCGCCACTGGTTTGCAGTCGCTCCGCTCCGCGTAAATTAGTCTATGGCTCTGTCGGCGGGCGGTCCACTCGAGAACTTTGGCCCGCATGTCCCATTTTCGCTCGTCGCCTCACAGTAACAAAGCACTGAATCGTAACCTTGACGAGACACTTTGTCGATTTTGTTTAAAACATTTAGAAAGACCCAACGGCTGCATTTTCCTCTACCACGTTGGACGAGCGAAGGAAAGACAAGACTTCGGTCCCGACACGCTCGGTATGCATTCCGATGCAACACACTTCGGTCCCGACTTGCGACGTTGATACGACCTTTGATAAGCACCATATATCCGTTCGGTTTACATAATTATTTTGTTGGGTGAATTACTGACACGAGAAGTAGATGTAAAAAAGGAAATCTTTATTTAATAGAAAAGGCTATGTTGTACGTTCGACAATCGCATAACGACTGCATTCACTAGCGATCACGCCTCGCTATGACGGTTGTTCGGACGCCGTCTTTTGTACACGGTGACCATCCTCCGGCGCTGCGGCGGAGGACCGGGAACTCTAATGACAGCAGTTGGATTTAACCATTTTAGAATCGCTGCGTAATTTTTGGATTTCTTGAGAAGTTGAAGTTTCTCTTATTGAATTTAGACGATGTACTAGTTTTCGCTAGTTAAGTCAACCAGTTAACTCTTGTTAAAAATATACTAGTTTTCGCTAGTTAATACACATTGTTAATTGGATTTAAATATACTAGTTTTCTGTAGTTGAATTATAATAAATTATTAAAATGACAAGTTCACAAGCAAATATTTCGTCGAACGATATTATGAACTTGACATTATCGCTTGCCAAATCAATATCACTTTTGACACAAAAGATATGCATACAGAGCGTTACATCGACAATATCGACTTTCGACGGAGAAACTCCATCTTTATCGCGTTTTGTACAAAGTGTGGAGGACGGGTTAAAATTGATACCTGAGGGTTCGGAAGCCGATTATCTGGCGATTGTTTTGACTAAATTCATAGGTCCCGCACGAAGGTGCACCTCAGAACATAAATTCGTGAGTGTCAGCGAATTGATTAAACATTTAAAAAAGAGATTTGCGCCGGGAAAAAGTTTGTCATACTTCCAAGTAGACATCGCGAGTTTATGTATTCGCGAGGGTGAAAGTCTGCGACAGTACGTCGACAGGACTAGTCATCTGGTTTATTGCGCGTGCAGAGCCATTCGGGAAAGATACCGAGACAACGCCGAAGATTTCATCAAGGAGATGGAAAGAGATGTTTTGGAAAATTTCATCGAAGGCTTGAAGGATCGGATTTCTTGGAAGATGTCGGTACATTTTAGAGACATACAAGCTCTTGAAGATGTTTACGATGCCGTGCTGCACATAGACAGAAAACTAAGGAATCGAAGACAGATGCCCCGGAACGAATCGCTTGCAAGGTGGTCACGAAAGGATTGTGGGACCGAAGATTATCGCCAACGCGACAGTAAAGTGTCGTATCCTGGCTCGCCAAGTCGTTATGACCGAGGACAGCACGCCAGGACATATGAACCTCAAGAGGATCGAGAAGAGCAACCACGTGCGACCGCATGGCCCGTGCCGCAAAGGAGCCCCTCGATTTCCCCTTCGAGGCGCTCTTACGATTACCCTAAGGATGAAGGAAATCATTATTCCATATTAAAAAATTCCGAAAGATACCGCGAACCAAAATTATTTTTGTACCGGCGACACGATGAGCGGAAACGAAAACTGTCGTCAAAAGATAGTACATTTCGACAACGACTCCTTATCAAAGAAACACCTGCTCCAAGTCTCGAAAATAAAATCCCAGAATTGGAATCAGGAAAGAGAACATTTTTGATTGATTGTGGTGCAGCTATTAATTTAGTATCTCTCGATGTTTTAGGAACAAAAGCAATAATAAATGCTCGCGAAGAAATAGAAATAATCAGATTAACGACAACTCCAATTCGCACGTTAGGAACCACAATATTGCACATTCACGATAAAGCCGCATTTTTCTATGTAGTAAAAACTCTAGCAATAGACGCTGATGGACTCATCGGAAGCCCATTTTTAATGCAAGAAGAAATTGAAATTTCGTATTATCATGGAACCATGGTATTAAAAGACAAACCTGTTAAACCATTGCGTTTTTCAAACCATCCGAATTTATTTTCATCTTTAAAACCGCAATCTCCGACTAAACACCGGCTCGAAGCTCGCACGATACAACAAATCGCGGTAAAAATAGCAAACCCGAAGGTAAAAGAAGGATATTTACCACGTATTAAAACTCACAATCAACTGTACATAGGGAAAGCAGCTGTAATAAATAATAGCGGAAAATGTCACGTCCTAGCAACGAACACCAGCAGCGAAGACCTCGACGTAGAGATAGAACCACAAACAATAGAACCGTACGATTTTCTGAGTACATCGAACAAAGACCTTTGCTCGTATGCAGAACACCCAACAAAATTCAGGACCAAAGAAGATAGGATAGAAAACCTCGTAAACACACTAAATACCAACTATTTAAACAGAGAAGAACGAGCATCCGTCATTGATTTAATAAAAGAATTTCCAGACCGATCTTTCCTGCTTGGAGACAAATTAGGAAAAGCAGCCGATTTTAATCATTCGATTCACACCATAGATGAAATTCCAGTAAGTACAAGACAATATCAATATCAATATATATAATATAAAAACAGGTTAGCACATTATTATCACAAGGCATAATTACTCAGTCAAAATCACCCTACAATTCACCTTTATGCATTGTACCGAAGAAAGCTGACTCACAGGGAAACAAACGTTGGCGTATGGTAATAGACTTTCGCGTATTAAATGAAAAGACAATCTCCGACAAATATCCATTATCACAAATCACAGAAATTTTGGACCGATTAGAAGGAGCAAAATATTATTCAGTTTTCGATCTCGCCAGCGAATTTCACCAGATAGAAATGAACACAAAGGACAAGCAAACAATAGCATTTACCACACCGCATGGACATTACGAATTTTCAAGAATGCCTTTTAGTTTAAAGAACACTCCACCTACATTTCAACGCCTCATGGATCAAGTTCTCACCGGATTACAAGGAAGAGACCTTTTCGTTTACCTGGACGATATTGTCGTTTACGCTTCATTATTACAAGAACATAATATCAAAGTTAAAAATTTATTGAACCGCCTTCGGGAACAGGACTTAACCCTTCAAACTAACAAATGCGAATTTCTACGCAAAGAAGTTGCATATTTAG